GGTCTATGTTTCTTATCGACCTACCAATACTTGTACAACTCGACCTAGTATCACTGATTTACGTCGACGTAATCTAGCATGTTATGGTAAAATTAATTCTTATGGAAAATTGAATTTGATTGATTTAATATTTCTAGCTTTATCAGTTGGTTACTCAATTAATTTTATTATTCTAAGTACAGTAAATTGTCGAAATGATTCAATTGTTGAGTTTATTTCAACATCACCATTTCGTGTACAAAAAGGAAATATATTTCAACAAAGTAATTATACTTGGGCCGTATCCTTTTCATGGACTCCACTCAACAATCAAACAGGTAAGTATATGAATGAAATTGATAAAGATTTTTTTAATACTATTTATTGTAATATTAGGTCTTCAACCATTTTGTATAGCAGCTGTAGATAACAATGGTCAAACAAGTAGTCAAAATTGTGTAATGATTGCTGTAGGAGCTACCAATCCGTCTATAATTGCTCCAACATTTGTTCAAAGTACAGCATCACCTGTCGGTACTGTTATGCCTACACAAAGTCGTTTTAGTATTCAAAGTAAGGATTTTTTTTCACACAATATCAGTTTGCAGATGTATTAAATTTTATATAAATGAAATGAAAATTATTTGCTTTATTTTAAAGCAACATTACCACTAAGGAGAACAAGGCTTAATGGGACATATATCGATATATATCAATTAAATACTTATGCCCTTTTCCATCGTCTGGATTGCAAATATTCACCGGATGTTTATTTTATAAACAAAACACTGATTTTTTTTATTCATAATCCCTCATGGGTTTTGGGTGCTACATATTATATAGTAATGACAGAAGGTGTAGCTACTGCTGATCAATATTGTGGTGTTGAAGCTGGTAGTTTTTATGGTAAGATATTTTCATAAAAAATCTTAAATACTCATCGATTTATTTTTTTTAAGGTTATGACAGCTGGAGATTTACAATATGGAATTCAGCAATGTCATCAACAACAACGCCTTCCACTACAACAAGCACAGCAACGACGCACACAGTGACTACTCGAGTAAGTGTTTACTTACTTATTTTCTATTAACGCCATAAAAAGTAAAAAGATAAGGATATGAGGGTGTGGATGTCGATCTTCTCTTCAATCATATCCACACACACACACACAAATTACATTGATCCACGTCGATTAATATTAAATGTCGATTTTGATATTTTTCTTAATTATAACAAATAAATTTTTCTTTTGTCTAGTTTCTCGGTACTACAACATATAACACACTTTATACAACAACTGGTATTCCAGCTTATACAACATCAACAACAACATCAACAACATCAACAACAGCAACAACAGCTACAACAACAACAACAACATCAGTTACTACAGGTAAATTAAGAAAAAAAAAAATTCCTAGTCAATATTCATATAGAGTTTGTTCATGTTTAGCTACAACAACAACAACTACAACAACAGATTATAATCCTGATGCAAATGTTATTTATCCAAAAGATATGGAACGTGCATGTTTACAACCAGTAACAATTGTAACAGTAATTGTAACTATTGCTGTTATTCCACTTCATTTTGTTGGAATGACAACTCTCTTCGTTCAAATGAATTCACTTCATCAACAAGAAATTTTACGAGCTCGAAGTGCACGTCGTAAGCGTTTACGACAAGCACTCGAACTTGAAGAAGAACAAACATTAGTCTAAAATATTATATATACGCGCATGCTTGTTTTTTGGATGAATATATATGTGTATTTTTTTTCATTGGCAAAACTTTTAAGAAACGAAAATTGACTATAAAAATATATTGTCTTTGAAAAGATCAAGTTTTTTTTTATTGCTGCATATTGTGATGGTATTTCCATAAAATATATGTAAAGCAAAATCAACATCTGTATCAATTGATGCTTGAACAATACTATTATAATTAACAAATTGAAAATTATGAATAATATATTTCTATCTTATAGTATTTCATTTCATACCTTTGGACTTTGGATATTAAATTATTGACAATTATACTGGTAATAAAGCAAATCTTAAAATTTAAACCATTGTTGCAACCAAAATGTTTAGGATGTGCGAAATGAATAGCTTTAAACTCACACTCACATTCTAGTTTGTTTTGAAGAGCATTTTCAAATTGGAAAGGAACTATTTGGGGCATATTAAAAGTAGTGATTTTGTTAGATAAAATCCTACAGAAAAGAGTTAATCAAGTTTTTACGCCAACAAATATTTGACCTAGTGTCTAGGCTTAATAATGCACAATCACTTTATTCAAAAAGGTATTTTTCAAATAATCTTTGCTTGAAAAATTCATCTTCTTGATAAAGACACTTCATGAAGTAATTAGGGACGAGTTGATAGATAAAGTTTATCAATTACATTGAGCACATGAAAAATACATAGTATTTTATCTGTAGGATAAGATGAATATAAAATAACTATGAAATATTCTGTTGTAGGATAGTGAAAGCATCTTTATGAATATATAGTTGATCATTGTCATAATGATTTTCGATGTTTTGAATGCTAACCGAGGATCTTTGTCTTCTCATTGCATTAATAAGTAGTTTTATGGAATTACTGATGATTAGAAGTCTTCTTTCTTTTCATATCTGCTAGTTTATTAAAAAGTATTTGACTAGTTGTTTTTTAGAAAAGATACAAACCATTATTTTAAGGCTAAATTACTGCACCAAGCTGAAGTTGATGGAGATTGTTCGATGGCAGTTCCTTTACTTTGAAGAATTTGAACTGATTTATGTGTAATATATTCAGTGTTCGTCATCTACAATCACCTCATGTATTCGTTATATTTCTTGCGTCAGTCATGCCTAACAAAATGTGATTGTTCGAAATAGTTACTAATTGCTGTATAGTGAGGGCTATAACTGATATAATGAATTTTTTAATCAAGGATTATTTGAAAACTATTTTCAACAAATCTCTTCAAACAAATCGATTTTGCTTAATTAAACATGAGTACTTGGTGAAACAAAAACTTGATCAACTCTTGCTTGTAGGCGCTTTCTCTGTCAAAACTACTGCTTTTAGTATGCTCTAAGTAAATGAATCAGTTGAATATGAATATGGTATTAGAATAATTAAAGTTTATGGTCATTCACTGTATTTTGACTACTTTTTGTTCATTAAAATACTATTTATTTAAAAAACCTTATACAATAGATTGTATTTTTGTTTGTTGTTTATGAAATTTGCATTAGTTTGTCTTTTTTTATGTTCATTTCTATTTTTGATTTATGTGTTTAAGGAACTGTTATTTAATTAAAAGGTAATGGTATATTTGAATAAGCAGAATCTTTCTAGAAAGTTGTTTTTCTCTACTGAATGTCCAAGGGGAATCGGCCAAAAAATGCGATTTTTACCGGGATACACTTAAGAGATGGCGCCTTGGTTGAGAATATACTGCATACTACCGTAACAAAGTACTTTAAGTCTATGCGCTTTCAGAAAAAGTCCAGTTCTGTCAGAATTATCGGAATTAAGATAAATGCATCAAAGAATGATAGGTTGTGGTCGGATTTTTCTATTTGGCACGCTAGTTTTTTTCTCCAAAATCATTTCCGTCACTCTCTGTTCGAAAAATATGCTTTTCTCAGAAAAATCGGTAAATCTTTTTCTCTGTTTGTATTTTTCTGATTGCGCATCCGAAAATTCTCGAAAGAGCTTCATTATAGTCAATTGCTTTTATTGTTTTTTGAAAGAGCGTGTCAACCTGTAGTGGCTGTCTTTTTTTAAATTATATAAAAACGCACTTCCGTCGATATATGTCCATTTTTTTAGATGCTGCACTTCTCATGTAGAAACACCTTATGAAGAACATATAAGATCTGACAAGATATTACTGACAGCCGGATGTCTGATTATCGGAATCTTATAAGATTTCATGAAAAGATGACTTGAAGATTGGTATATAAAATCGTAAAAGATTATATACGTTTATCATACGATCTTGTGTGATCATGAAAGAATTCAACAAGTGTTTTCCAAGAATAATTGATTGCTAATAAAACAATCTGTATTATTTATTTCGGCATTTCGAATAGAATAATTTTTTCTTTTTCTTCTGTCTTGGTATTATTCACTCGTGATTTTTCATCTTCATATTTTGTCTTGCTTTATTTAACATTATTTATTACTCTAATCATTGATTTATTTAACAAAGAAGTCAGTTGTACAAATACATTATATGTGCAGCCGATCTCAATGCACTATTATATATATATATCTCGAGAAGTTTACAAACATTGATATCAATTATTTCCTAAAATTGTAACTTGATCAGTTCACGCTTTTAATGTTACTTATATGGTGACAGTGACAAATCAATGCATCCCTACCTATCATCTCGGACATTTTGAATATATATTTTTATGTGTGTAACAATCAAAAACTAAACTAATTCAAACATTGATAAGCGTAGTTCAGCCATTCAAATTTCGAGAAAGCCCTTGGAATGTTCTAGTCAGATAAACAAAAATTAAAATGTATAGAATGAAACTATTTTTGAGTCTTGTTTATTGAACATCTCCCGAAAACTTTATGGTATGAACTGAAAATTTTCTCATAGACTTTCCTCTATCGCTCTAACATAAAGTTTTATGCGATTCCAATGTACCTGACTCAAGATCAAATATTGAGCCGGGACTTAATAAGAGTAAGGGAACACAAGTAATTGTAATAATTAAATGATGAATATATCCAAATATCTATTATATGCTCATTACATTGATTTAATTATATTTATTAGAATATTATTTGATCACAATCAATTGATCAACGAATTTAATATAACTAATATTTTCATGTTAATCAAAAATGTAATAATTCGATTTCTCACTATGCAAATTATAGAATATTTGATTTTCGTCTATGATGAATAACTTAGCTAGCAAATGTGAAGATTAAAAGTTTGACTTTTACCTTCTGGTAATTTGTTTAAGATATCATTTTCTTCTGCATTCATTTTATATTTACTTAATGGTCTGTTATTCAGCACTGTATGAATTTCATCAAACAACATAACCAGAATGTATGCGCTCAAATGTTTGTTCTGCAAAATACTTTTTTTTCAATCATCAAGATTTGTGTGGTGAAATAATCAGTCAACAAAACGTTTCTTTTTTTGTTCTTATTGTTAAAATTTTGTTAATAAATTAAAGTGCTACAAAGAGAAAAATTCAAAATGTTTATTTTATTCAATAGTTTTAATAAAACAATAACAAAATCTATCTTTCACTTTTTTGAAAGTTTATTTCATTGACTCATTCAAATGTCTTTTCGTGTATGGATTCTATTCTTACTCCAACTAGTTAATATATCATTAGCAGATCATTATAAAGGTGGTACTCTATCATGGAAACCAACAAATCCATATTCTTTAACAAGTCCTGTTGAAATTATAATAACAGAACGACATTCATGGACATTCACTAGATATTCATGTGATAACAATATTATTAATACATTTGGTGTTTACAATGATACACAAAATGCAACAACAGCTACAATTATTTGTATAAGTTCAACAGCTACATGTACATCATCACTTTTTCAAAATATTAGTTCACGTTTATATTGTACTGATTTTACAACAGGACTTCAAATATCTACAGGAACTCATTATACAAAACAATATTTAGCAATAAATTCTATAATTGATGTTGCTTCAAGAGGTGCAGCTTGGGCACGTGAAACTTTAACTAATGAATGGTCACTTGTTACTCATATTGATTTAACACCAATTTCGGGTAAAATTAATACTTCACCTGGTATGTTATCTCTTGTGAGTGTTCGAATTTATATATATATATATGAATTTGGTTTTAGTAACAGCATCATTACCAATTTTTCAACTTTACAATAATGAAACGTCAGTTATACAAATACTTATAGCTGATTGGGATTATGATCAAGTTGTTCGATGTCGTTGGTCATATCAATATTCATTAGATGAATGTGGAAGTACATGTTTTGATCTACCAAATGCTCAATTAAATTCAGTAGATTGTGCTATTACATGGACACCTGTTCTTAGATCTGCAGATATAGCTAATGGTTTAACTCAATCGACATATGTAGTTGCAATAACAGTCGAAGATTTTGTTAATGCATCAAGTACTACACCTCTTAGTTCAGTACCACATCAAATATTGGTCTATGTTTCTTATCGACCTACCAATACTTGTACAACTCGACCTA